CCAGTCATCTCAGCCAGTCAATCCATGGCACCAGGGTCTGTCCTATCAGCAACGAGCCTTCGACACTTCACGTGGCCTTAAAGTGCACCTAGCCTGGCACTGAGTGGTGAATGGCGACTGTGCTGTATGGGAGCGGTGGCGCAGCGGTTTGCTCGCTGCCCTAAACAAAACCGGCCACCCGAGTTGGATTCCCGCTCACGGCCAACGTGAGTGACGAATACCCACGGACTCAGCCTGGTGCGCCGTGCGGACACGAGCAGCAAGCCGTCCACGCGTGGCGTGACCGCCCCTGGGTGGGGGACAGCGACTGCTGAGATGACAGCAGGAGCAGAGCTGTGGCTAGTGTGGAGATTGGGGTGCTGATGATGTGTGTGCGTTGTGCCCAGCCAACCGTGTGAGTCTATGGGTCTCTATGCTAGTCTATGGGTCTAGATGTGAGTCTATGGATCTAGATGTGAGTCTATGGGTCTCTATGTGAGTATATGGGTCTAGATGTGAGTCTATGGGCCTAGATGTGAGTCTATGGGTCTCTATGTGAGTCTATGGGTCTAGATGTGAGTCTATGGGTCTCTATGCTAGTCTATGGGTCTAGATGTGAGTCTATGGATCTAGATGTGAGTCTATGGGTCTCTATGTGAGTCTATGGGTCTAGATGTGAGTCTATGGGCCTAGATGTGAGTCTATGGGTCTCTATGTGAGTCTATGGGTCTAGATGTGAGTCTATGGGTCTAGATGTGAGTCTATGGGTCTAGATGTGAGTCTATGGGCCTAGATATGAGTCTATGGGCCTCGATGTGAGTCTATGGGTCTCTATGCGAGTCTATGGGTCTAGATGTGAGTCTATGGGTCTAGATGTGAGTCTATGGGTCTCTATGCAAGTCTATGGGTCTAGATGTGAGTCTATGGGTCTCTATGCTAGTCTATGGGTCTAGATGTGAGTCTATGGGTCTAGATGTGAGTCTATGGGTCTGTATGTGAGTCTATGGGTCTAGATGTGAGTCTATGGGTCTCCATGTGAGTCTATGGGTCTAGATGTGAGTTTATGGGTCTCTATGTGAGTCTATGGGTCTAGATGTGAGTATGGGTCTAGATGTGAGTCTATGGGTCTCTATGTGAGTCTATGGGTCTCGATGTGAGTCTATGGGTCTCTATGCTAGTCTATGGGTCTCTATGTGAGTCTATGGGTCTAGATGTGAGTCTATGGGTCTAGATGTGAGTCTATGGGTCTAGATGTGAGTCTATGGGTCTAGATGTGAGTCTATAGGCCTAGATGTGAGTCTATGGGTCTAGATGTGAGTCTATGGGCCTATATGTGAGTTTATGGGTCTCTATGTGAGTCTATGGGTCTCTATGTGAGTCTATGGGTCTATATGCGAGTCTATGGGTCTCTATGTGAGTCTATGGGTCTCTATGTGAGTCTATGGGTCTCTATGCGAGTATATGGGTCTAGATGTGAGTCTATGGGTCTAGATGTGAGTCTGTGGGTCTCGATGTGAGTCTATGGGTCTAGATGTGAGTCTATGGGTCTCTATGTGAGTCTATCGGTCTAGATGTGAGTCTATGGGTCTAGATGCGGGTCTATGGGTCTAGATGTAAGTCTATAGTTCTAGATGTGAGTCTATGGGTCTCTATGTGAGTCTATGGGTCTAGATGTGAGTCTATGGGTCTAGATGTGAGTCTCCAAATTCTTAACAAACTTGCTCCGTTGGTTAGATTTAAAATAAAAGGCAACCACCCACCATGGTATGATCCTTTGATTACAAAGCTCATGAAAACTAGGGACAAGGCTTGGGCATGTGCTCATGAAAGTAATTTGGTAAATGACTGGCTGGAATACAGGATTTTAAGGAATAGATACGTAAAAAAAATACGGCATGCAAAAAATGCCTACTTTTCCTCCACTCTCCTGGAATCACATGGAAATGCCAGGATTTTTTGGAAAACAATCAAATCTATCGAAAAGGCATCCAAAACAGACAATCTGCCCGTTGAGCTTAACCGAAATGGGGAATATTTTTCAGATCCCCAAAGAATAGTTGACAATTTTAACCTTCATTTTTCTGCAGCTGGTAATCTTTTTGATAATGTATTGGGAGTCACTCCTGCTTCTGCAAATTCCTACACCCCTGCCCAAACATTAAACGAATTTAGTTTTCAACCTATCCACGAAAGTAATGTTCTGAAACAACTATCCTACCTCAAAGGGTCCTCCTCTACCGGAGCAGATAGTATTCCCGTCTTTGCTCTACTAACTGTTGGTCACCTAATATACAAACCTATAGCCCATATTTTCAACCTGTCCATCAAAGAAGCATCAGTTCCTCTAGAATGGAAACATTCCTATGTCCGTCCACTTCACAAAGGGGGCCCTAAAGATGATCCAAATAACTACCGACCTATCTCAATTTTGTCCCCATTGATGACATTTTTTGAAAAATTATTGAACTACCAAATTAGCAGTTTCCTGTCCACCAACAATCTACTACATCTAAAACAATCTGCGTTTTGAAAAAATACAGCACGATATCTGCTGCATTAGACTCTTTGAATCAAATTTACAATAGCCTTGATAATAAGCAGGACTGTGCCTGTCTTTTTCTTGACCTATCCAAAGCTTTTGATACAGTAGACCACAACACCCTGCTTAGTAAACTAAGTTGCCTCGCTTTTTCCGAGAACACAGTACAATGGTTAAAAAATTACCTCTTTTCTCGCACCCAAACTGTATTCACAGATGGTTGGAGGTCAAAGAGTGTAAAGATAACAAAAGGGGTTCCACAGGGTTCCATCCTCGGCCCCCTCTTTTTCTCTCTTTATGTCAATGACTTGGGCACTGAACTGGATCATTCCAGGGTAAATCTTTTTGCAGATGACACGATACTGATTACTGCTGGCCGCTCTCCGGATGACGTGATTGCTAAGCTCCAGGGTGATTTCAACAAACTACAACATCAGCTAGTTTCTCTTAAACTAGTCTTGAATACCTCCAAAACCAAGGTGCTATGCTTCTCACCGGGACTAAAGCAGGAAGTTATTTTTCCCCAATTACATTCTTTGAATAATTATCAAATAGAGCAAGTTAAGATCTATAAGTATCTTGAGGTCATCCTGGATTCAAAACTTAGTTTTGAAGATCACATTGATTATATTGGTAAAAAGACAAAAATAAAAATTGGTTTTCTGTGTCGACACAAGCACTGCTTCCCCTCAATGTTCTGTTTGGAATTGATAAAAGCTACCATACTGCCTCTACTTGACTACTGTGACATCGTGTATAAATCAGCCCCAAGTACTGTACTGAAGAAGCTTGATTCCATCTATCACTCGGCCTTAAGATTTGCATTGAACTGCCCATATAGGACTCACCACTGTGATCTCTACATTGGGTCAAACTTAACATCTCTTAATGTTCGACGACTTGTGCACCAGATCTTATTTATTCACGATGTACTTACAAAAAAATCCGCAGACTACCTACTGGATCTCCTCTCTGTTTCAAAGAACAAATTTGACCTCAGGTCTTCGCTCATTTACCAGCTTCACATTCCCTATTGCCGTACAAAAACTGGAGGAAGGGCCTTTGCTATTGATGCCCCCAGGGTCTGGAATGCTATTGCCAATAAACTGCAACTTGAATCACTACCTATGAGATCTTCACTCAAAACTGCTCTAGAGGAGTTGTACACCCCTAGCTGCCACTGCTATTCAGTGGCCTAGATTTTGGTGTCATAATTTATTTATGTAGTTTATCGTTAAAAATTCGGTCACATTCCCTATGATCACTGTTACATTGCATTTATGGCTTTTATTTTGGTGATTTCGAAAACGTTTTTTTGTTTTGGCCATGTTTTTGTTTATTGTAGTACGGAGTTAGACTGATGTCCTTAATCTTAGTTGTCTTGTGGTTGTTGTTATTTTGACTTGCATGCCACTGGGATGTTTTGCACACAGCGTTGGTGTACGGTGCTATCTCAGGAATATTTTTGATGTTTTTTTTTTCCCTGGATTTTCTGTTTGCACAGTCACACAAAGTCACTTTAAGATGTTTTCTTGTTCATGTTTTTTGTTTGTTGCGGTTGCACCCGATTCAAGAGCCGAATGGCTCACAGGGCTATACCAAATAAATGAACTATGAATTATGAACAGTGCCTGCCAGTCGTGACGTCATCCACAGTGCCTGCCAGTCGTGACGTCATCGACAGTACCTGCCAGTCGTGACGCCATGCACAATGCCAGCCAGTCGTGACGCCATCAACAGGAACTGCCAGTCGTGACGCAATCCACAGTACCTGCCAGTCGTGACGCCATGCACATTGCCTGCCAGTCGTGACGTCAATCCAAAGAGCGTTTCAGACGTGACGTTTTAGCCAAAGCGGTTTCGAACCCTTACGTCACATCCAAAGTTCCAATCAGACGTGACGTCATATTCAGTGCCGATCGTCCGGGACGTCATCTAGATTGCCAATCAGTCGTGACGCAATATAAAATTTAAGTTGCTATCAGTCGTGACGTCATCACGGCTGTTTATCTTTCGCGTGGGCGGCATCGGTAGAGGCTGCGAGGGCGTGGCCCGTGTCTCCGTGTGTCTCCGTGTCTCTCCGTGTCTCCCTCCCGTGTCTCCGTGTCTTTGTCTCCGTGTCTCCCTCCCGTGTCTCCGTGTCTCCCTCCCGTGTCTCCGTGTGCGAGTCTCTGTGTTGCACTGCTGTCCCCGTCAGCTTGTCTCCTCAGGATCTGTCTCCGTGCCCCACGTGCGTACACCGCTTGTCTCCGCGTGTCTATGCGTGTCCCCCGTGTCTCTGTCTACTCTGTGTCTAAGTGTCCCCCCGTGTCCCCCTCGTGTGTACAGCAATTGTCTCCGCGTGCCCCCCCCCCTCCGAGTGTGCGTCTCCCACCTCGTGTCCCTCCCGTGTCTCTCCCCTCCACCCCCGTGTCTCCCCTCGTGTCCCTCCACCCCCGTGTGTCTCCCCTCGTCCCCCGTGTCTCTCCCCTCAACCCCGTGTCTCCCCTCGTGTCCCTCCCGTGTCTCCCCCCTCTACCCCCGTGTCTCCCCCCTCTACCCCCGTGTGTCTTCCTCTACCCCCGAGTCTCCCCACGGCGCCATGGTGCACGCGAAGGCCTACAAGGGCCAGGACTACGCGCGTCTGCGGCGCGCGTGCGCCTCCCGCGGGGAGCTCTTCCGAGACGAACTCTTCCCCGCCGGGGAGACGGCGCTGGCGCCCGCAGGGAGCGTGGCCAGCCGGGCGCCCTCGGGGCGCGTACAGTGGAAGCGCCCCAAGGTAAACCCCTCACAATCCATAATCACACTCCCTGTTCACCATCCCTCATCACAATCCATAATCACACTCCCTACTCACACTCCCTCATCACAATCCATAATCACACTCCCTGTTCACCATCCCTCATCACAATCCATAATCACACTCCCTACTCACACTCCCTCATCACAATCCATAATCACACTCCCTACTCACTCCTTCATCACCATCCCTCATCACACTCCCTACTCACACTCCCTTCTCACCATCCCTCATCACAATCCCTCATCACACTCCCTGTTCACCATCCCTGCTAAACCCTCACCATCCCTGCTCACACTCCCTGCTAAACCCTCACCATCCCTGCTAAACCCTCACACTCCCTGCTAAACCCTCACCATCCCTGCTCACACTCCCTGCTAACCCTCACCATCCCTGCTAAACCCTCACTATCGCTGCTAAACCCTCACCATCGCTGCTAAACCCTCACCATCCCTGCTAAACCCTCACCATCCCTGCTAAACCCTCACCATCCCTGCTAAACCTCACCATCCCTGCTAAACCTCTCACAATCCCTGCTAAACACTCACACTCCCTGCTAAACCCTCACCATCCCTGCTAAACCCTCACCATCCCTGCTAAACCCTCAGCATCCCTGCTAAACCCTCACAATCCCTGCTAAACCCTCACCATCCCTGCTAAACCCTCACCATCCCTGCTAAACACTCACCATCTCTGCTAAACACTCACCATCTCTGCTAAACCCTCACCATCCCTGCTAAACCCTCACCATCTCTGTTAAACCCCTCACAATCCCTGCTAACCCTCACCATACCTGCTAAACCCTCACCATCCCTGCTAAACCCTCACCATCCCTGCTAAACCCTCACCATCCCTGCTAAACCCTTACCATCCCTGCTAAACCCCTCACCATCCCTGCTAAACCCTCACCATCCCTGCTAAACCCTCACCATCCCTGCTCAACCCTCACCATCCCTGCAAAACCCTCACCATCCCTGCTAAACCCTCACCATCCCTGCTAGCCCTCACCATCCCTGACAAACCCCTCATCATCCCTGCTAAACCCTCACCATCCCTGATAAACCCTCACCATCCCTGCTAAACCCTCACCATCCCTGCTAACCCTCACCATCCCTGCTAAACCCCTCACCATCCCTGCTAAACCCTCACCATCCCTGCTCACACTCCCTGCTAAACCCTCACCATCCCTGCTAAACCCTGACCATCCCTGCTAAACCCTCACCATCCCTGCTAACCCTCACCATCCCTGCTAAACCCTCACCATCCTTGCTAAACCCCTCACCATCCCTGCTAAACCCTCACCATCCCTGCTAAACCCTTACCATCCCTGCTAAACCCCTCGCACTCCCTGCTAAGCCCTCACCATCCCTGCTAAACCCTCACCATCCCTGCTAAACCCTCACCATCCCTGCTAAACCCCTCACAATCCCTGCTAAACACTCAATCCCTGCTAAACCCTCACCTGCTAAACCCCTCACAATCCCTGCTAAACCCCTCACAATCCCTGCTAAACACTCAATCCCTGCTAAACCCTCACCATCCCTGTTAAACCCTCACCATCCCTGCTAAACCCTCACCATCCCTGCTAAACCCTCACCATCCCTGCTAAACCCTCACCATCCCTGCTAAACCCTCACCATCCCTGCTAACCCTCACCATCCCTGCTAACCCTCACCATCCATGCTAAACCCTCACCATCCCTGCTAACCCTCACCATCCCTGCTAAACCCTCACCATCCCTGCTAAACCCTCTCCATCCCTGCTAAACCCTCACCATCGCTGCTAAACCCTCACCATCCCTGCTAAACCCTCACCATCCCTGCTAAACCCCTGACCATCCTTGCTAAACCCTCACCATCCCTGCTAAACCCTCACCATTGCTGCTAAACCCTCACCATCCTTGCTAAACCCCTCACCATCCCTGCTAAACCCTCACCATCCCTGCTAAACCCTTACCATCCCTGCTAAACCCCTCGCACTCCCTGCTAAACCCTCACCATCCCTGCTAAACCCTCACCATCCCTGCTAAACCCTCACCATCTAAACCCCTCACAATCCCTGCTAAACCCCTCACAATCCCTGCTAAACACTCAATCCCTGTTAAACCCTCACCATCCCTGTTAAACCCTCACCATCCCTGCTAAACCCTCACCATCCCTGCTAAACCCTCACCATCCCTGTTAAACCCTCACCATCCCTGCTAAACCCTCACCATCCCTGCTAAACCCTCACCATCCCTGCTAACCCTCACCATCCCTGCTAACCCTCACCATCCCTGCTAAACCCTCACCATCCCTGCTAACCCTCACCATCCCTGCTAAACCCTCACCATCCCTGCTAAACCCTCTCCATCCCTGCTAAACCCTCACCATCGCTGCTAAACCCTCACCATCCCTGCTAAACCCTCACCATCCCTGCTAAACCCCTCACCATCCTTGCTAAACCCTCACCATCCCTGCTAAACCCTCACCATTGCTGCTAAACCCTCACCATCCCTGCTAAACCCTCACCATCCCTGCTAAACCCTCACCATCCCTGCTAAACCCTCACCATCCCTGCTAAACCCTCACCATGCCTGCTAAGCCGTCACAATCCAGCCATTCAGGTCACCATATAAATGTAGGTGAACAACACGCTTGGATATTTTGCTTGGACGCGGTGAAAATGGCAAAATAACACCACGCAGCGTCTACCGCAAGGGAACGCAAACTGATGCCTATCTGAATGCAGATTCGCATCATCACTCAGCACAGAAATCCTCTCTCATCAAGACGCTCGTACATCAGGCAAAGACGGTGTCAGATGGTGAAAGTTTAGGGAAAGAGATTAAACACGTTAAAGAAGCACATAGACTGAATGGCTACAATAATGCTCAAATTAACAGAGCATTGAATGCCAAATCAAGATCGAAAAACAATACTACTGAAAGTGATCAGATTATCAAAACAATTCAAACACCATATCTTGGGAGTTACTGACAAATTAGCCCGTGTTTTGCAAAAGCAAAACATTAAAGTGGGATTTGGTACGGTACACAAAATTCAACAGCTAGTGTCTTGTACTAAAGATGAATTACTGAAGTTATCAACAGAAGGTGTATATCAGATTTATTGCTTATGCGGTAAGTATTATATTGGACAGACGGGACGTAACATCAGCGTAAGACTAAAAGAACAGCAAATGATCATTACATTCTCACAAACACAGCTGTCAGCAGTGGCAGAGCATGCTTGCCAAAAAGGACATTCAATTGATTTTGATAACATTGAAGTGTTATGCAGAACTAATTATTACCGGCCAAGATTAGAGAATCAATTGAAATTGAGAAGAATTCAAATAATTTTAATCGCTGTGATAGCTATAGGCTCAGCGCAGCCTGGAAGCATATTAATTTATTTCTAACTACTACGTGATGACTTTACCACAAGAACCAAAGAGTATGGATTCCTGCAGTCACGAAAGCTTCAAATCAAGATGGAAGCATATTATTAAGTAATACACAACACACATTGAAATTCCTTACTGGCGAGTCACATGCTAAGTGGCTGAATACTGATCTATTACATAATTGTATACACCCCCACCTGCGCGTCTGATCTCGAATCCTGATTGGGTTCAACAATGATGACGTCATACTGCACTATTTAAGACCGGAAGCCGGTGGATGGCTTCACTATTCTGGCAAATCGCCTGAAGATGCTGGATGTAATTTTCAGCGAGGCATCGTACTGCTCAAATTGTAAATGTTGTGGATTCACTCTTCAACACACCGGTGGGCTGAAGTTGTGAAATATTTGTCTTTTGTCAACGTGACACATTTTTTTACTGATTGGCCGTGTTGGGTGGTGGCGAGTTGCGACACATTTATAAATAATGCAATCTATCCCAAAAACCTTTATTATGAAACCCTCACCCCCTGCTAAACCCTCATTCTGCTGCTGTTAAAACACCAAACTGAAACCTTTAACAAGGAATCATGTCTGCGTTAACCACAATACTTGTGGTCAGAATGCAAACAAAAAACATACTCTGATCATATATGCATTGTCCTTGAAACTGATTGGTCCACACTAGAGACAGCTTTCTTTTGAGCCTCGTCTCAAACGGCGTTAGACCAGAGGATGCCAAAATACGTCCAGCACAAAGACAACGCCACGATCAGAGTAACGAGAGCTCGGGGTAAGCAACTACATCATGGGACCTCCTTTGCCAGTAGCAAAATATAATAATAGGCTGTACGCCTTTTGGATACATCTCAACACCTGTTTTGTTGCCAGAAAAAAGGGGAAAACCTATTCTCATATTTTGGTACTGGCAAAAGAGGTCCCATGATATCATCCCCATGCTAAACCCTCACCCTCTGCTCCACCCCCACCCCATCTGCGACACCTTTGCCCCCTGCTAAACTATCACCCCCTGCTAAACCCTCACCCAAATGTTAAATCATCACCCCCTGCTAAACCATCACCGCCTACTAAACCCCCACCTCCTGCTAAACCCTCACCCCCTGCTAAACCATCACCCACATGCTAACCCCTCACCCCCTGCTAACCCCTCACCCCCTGCTGAACCCTCACCCCCTGCTGAACCCTCACCCCTTGCTGAACCCTCACCCCCTGCTGAACCCTCACCCCCTGATAAACCCTCACCCCCTGCTAAACCCCTCACCCCCTGGTAAACCCCTCACCCCCTGCTAAACCCTCACCCCCTGTTAAACCCCTCACGCCCTGGTAAACCCCTCACCCCCTGCTAAACCCCTCACCCCCTGCTGAACCCCTCACGCCCTGCTGAACCCTCACCCCCTGCTGAACCCTCACCCCCTGCTGAACCCTCACCCCCTGCTAAACCCTCACCTCCTCTCGCGTGAACGCTGATTCATCTCGCGATGCAGCAGCAGCAGCCGCAGAAGCTGCTGCTGCTGCTGCTGCGTTGGTAGCGGTGGTGCTCTAAACAACAATAACAACAACAGCAGCTCGACGCGTGCCGTGTCAAAAACACCGCACGGGACCTTAAAATGAAAACAACAACAACAGACAGAGGTGACGTTTCGGGCAATGACCATTCTCACCAGCACATTGGCCAGAGAGAGTGGACTATTTTTTTTTTTTTGCTGTTGTAAGGCACTGTGAATGCAGATCCTTGCAGAAAAAAATAATTAAACCGCAGTTCACTCCGCGTTCTTGTCATATTTAATTATATATTACCGAATTTGAATGAAGATGTCACTTGTTGTTTCGGTTCGCCGACCCCTGTGCCAGATGATCATAGGCGGGACGTCCTCTTTCCGTATTGGACGCGGGTCCTGGTTCGACGCCCAACTCTAGAATGAGCACAGCATCGTCATGAGCATCGCCGTGGAGAAACAGTAACAGAAGAAACGTCTTCCAGCGGTGCCGCTACCGCGATGAGACGATCGTGCGATTCGTGATTGAAATTCTGTCTCGGCAAAAAGTAACGTCACGTGATTATCAATGGATCATATCGCTTCTATTATGAAAGCCTGGTGTTCCGCTTGTCCGTCAACTAAATTATTAGAGCCCATCAGAAGGCCCGAATCAATAAGTTATAGAAAGTGGAACCCCCTCCCCCCCCCCAAGACGTGGAGGTAAAAAGTTGATCCAACAAGGTTCCAAAAATTGTCGACCCCCCCCCATCTCCTAAAATATTAATGTCTTTTGTAGGCACCTACACACCCTACATACAATAGTCAGTAGATACTACTGACTATTGTATGTGTTGTGAGTTCAACTGAGTCGCAGACGCTTTTCTTGGAAGCAAAACATTTATTAAAACCAACACACGCGGTACTACCCCTTAACACATTAACAACCTATGGTGGTGGACCACCAGGCTAACTCCTCTAAATTACACTGGAGTTAGCTACGACAGACCGGACCCTGGCCTGGGTCCCGGTCCACGTGTTGGTGACTCTTGTAGGACGTAGAATGTAGATTCTTCAGGATGAACAACAGCACCTGGTCCCTCTCGGGGAACCGGCTTATATCCTCTGTGGCGGGGCTGGCTCCGCCCTTAGCCACGCCCATTTTCTAGAATCCTCTAGCAGGTTCTCGACCCTGACACGTGACCACCCCTAGCCCCCACCTGGGGGCCCTGTGTACACTTTACCGGTCACGTGTCCTTCGGGGTCAACCAGTGCCATGACCCTTAGTAACCCCATTCCCATGGCCGGCACTCTCGCACCCTGTCCTGTAAGGGTCGGCACTGCACGCAGGGCGTGGTGCCACTCAGCACTGTCAATCAGTTCTCACTGAGCCCCTCTAGGGCCAGTACTGCACCCACATCCACGTGGTGCACGCGATGTCAATGCATCGCATGCCGTGCATCTCTCGGGCCGGCGTTACACAGTGACATCTGTGATGTCACTACATCACCCCCCCCCCTTCGTAGCACTCAGCCATCCCGGCTGTCAACGCCCCCTTAAAACGAACACAGTACAGAGTGAATAGAGCGAGTAAAAAGTGAGTAAACCCTTCTGTCTGCCTCAACAATAACAAATACCCAAGCCCACCTCTGCAATATATACACTATCTATCTACAAATGTACAGAACGAACAGGGAAAGGGTGGGATACAGAACAACAGCCACGGGAAAAAAATGAATGCAGTAAAACGCGAACGCTCGGAACCCCCTCCATCACCAACCTCTCCCACCCTCGCCGTGTAACAACGCCCGCAAGCGCAATGAAGGCCAGGTTCACCCAATAACCGATACGGCCTGCCGGGTGTGACAACCAACTGACGGTGTGGGAGTGCGTGTGCATGGGGGTTACGAAAACCGAGGCCTTGTGGCCGGGCCCCCAGTGGAGGTGGGCTCGCTCTTCCTGGAGGTCCCGGGGGGAAATATGCAAGTGTCCCGTCGAACCCGGCTCCTCACCAAGAGCAGTCGGCCGGGTGGACGGGTTCTCCTCTCGCGAATCCGGAGGCGACGGCGCAGGCGGCGGCTCGGGGGGACGTCAGGCGCACGGCACCCGAGGAGGGGATCGCACGACTCCGCTGAGGACCAACCTCGGCGGGAACACACCCTCAGTCTGCCGGACAAATCTGACACTCGCCCCCTGCGATGTGGAGATGGAACGAACTCCCGCGGGGCGATGAAAGGCTTGAGGCGCGAGGGATGTACAAACCAACTCCGCCGCCCCAAGAGGATCTGGACGCACTGTGGTCGAATGACTCGAATCACATCCACCGGCCTCCTCCGGGGTTTGAGCAATTTGGGCGACGTACCCCCCGGTACCTGTGGACAGTGCAACCAGGCTCTGATCTGCTGGTAATGCTGATAATGATGATGCTGATGTTGACGACGATGTGCGTACAGGAGCTGTGCGATGACCCGCGTCTCTTCGTCGATGGCATCAGCGCCCACGACCTGCACCAGGGCTCCCTGGGGAACTGCTGGTTCGTGGCGGCCTGCTCCTGCCTCACACACAGGAAGAACCTGTGGACTACGGTAACACTCCTCATCTACCACTCCTCATCTACCACTCCTCATCTACCACTCTCCATCTACCACTCTCTCTCTCGTGAGTGGTGAATCTGCAGGTACACCGAGCGATGGGCCCAGAGAGGTTCCCTAGAGTGTGAGCGGCTGGGCGGCGATGCTGGTGGTGGCGGTGTTGGTGATGTTGTTAATGATGGTGGTGGTGGCGGTGTTGGTGATGTTGTTAATGATGGTGGTGGTGGTGGCGGTGTTGGTGATGTTGTTGATGGTGGTGGTGCTGGTGGTATTGGTGGAGTTGCTGGTGGACGTCTCTGTGCGTTAGCAGGCTCGGCTCGACCGCGATCCTGCCTCGTCGGTTAGAACCGATGCCTCGTGTCACCCCCAACCTCCCCTCAATCCCCCCCTTCATCCCCCACCCCCCCAGGTGATCCCCGACCACGAGGACCAGGAGTGGGACCCGGCGCACCCCGAGAAGTATGCGGGGATCTTCCACTTCCGCTTCTGGCGGTTCGGCGAGTGGGTGGACGTGGTGGTGGATGATTCGCTGCCCACGCTCGACGGGCAGCTGCTCTACTGCCACTCCAACTCGTCCAACGAGTTCTGGTCGGCGCTGCTCGAGAAGGCCTTCGCCAAGTGAGGGTCCGCGTGGCGTGTGCTCCGGGCCTGCTGAGAGTCCGTGTGGCACGCGCTCCGGGCCTGCTGAGAGTCCGCGTGGCGTGTGCTCCGTGCTTGATGAGTGGCCGCGTGGCGAGCGGCCGCGGCGAGACCTCGAAAGGAGCTACAGGGGGGGTGCAGTCTCATTTGCAAGAACGAGTGGCTGGGTGTGTGGGTGAGTGGGTGGGTGGGTGTGTGGGTGGGTGAGTGAGTGGATGGGTGGGTGGTAAGTGGATGGGTGGGTGAGTGGGTGGGTGGGTGGGTGAGTGGATGGGTGGGTGGGTGAATGGATGGGTGGGTGGGTGAATGGATGGGTGGGTGGGTGAGTGGATGGGTGGGTGGGTGAGTGGTTGACTGGTTGTGTAGGTGGGTGAGTGGGTTAGTTGGGTGGGTGAGTGGGTGACTGATTGGTTGTGTGGGTGGGTGAGTGGGTGAGTGGGTGACTGAATGAAGGGAACTCGGTGGGCCTGTGTGTGTGTGTACAGGCTGTGTGTGTGTGTGCAGGCTGTGTGTGTGTGTGTGCAGGCTGTGTGCGTGTGTGTGTACAGGCTGTGTGCGTGTGTGTGTACAGGCTGTGTGCGTGTGTGTGTACAGGCTGTGTGTGTGTGTACAGGCTGTGTGTGTGTGTGTACAGGCTGTGTGTGTACAGGCTGTGTGTGTGTGTGTACAGGCTGTGTGCGTGTGTGTGTACAGGCTGTGCGTGTGTGTACAGGCTGTGTGCGTGTGTGTACAGGCTGTGTGTGTGTGTACAAGCTGTGTGTGTGTGTACAGGCTGTGTGTGTGTGTACAGGCTGTGTGTGTGTGTACAGGCTGTGTGTGTACAGGCTGTGTGCGTGTGTGTGTACAGGCTGTGTGCGTGTGTGTGTACAGGCTGTGTGTGTGTACAGGCTGTGTGTGTGTGTGTACAGGCTGTGTGTGTGTGTACAAGCTGTGTGTGTGTGTGTGTACAGGCTGTGTGTGTGTGTACAGACTGTGTGTGTGTAGAGGCTGTGTGTGTGTTTGTGTGTAGAGGCTGTGTGTGTGTTTGTGTGTAGAGGCTGTGTGTGTGTTTGTGTGTACAGGCTGTGTGTGTGTGCGTGTGTACAGGCTGTGTGTGTGTGCGTGTGTACAGGCTGTGTGTGTGTGCGTGTGTGTGTGTGCAGGCTGTGTGCGTGTGTGTGTACAGGCTGTGTGTGTACAGGCTGTGTGTCTGTTTACAGGCTGTGTGTGTGTACAGGTTCTGTGTGTGTGTACAGGTTCTGTGTGTGTGTACAGGTTCTGTGTGTGTGTACAGGCTGTGTGTGTGTGTACAGGCTGTGTGTGTACAGGCTGTTTGTGTGTGTGTGTGTACAGGCTGTGTGTGTGTGTGTGTACAGGCTGTGTGTGTGTGTGTGTACAGGCTGTGTATGTGTGTGTACAGGCTGTGTGTATGTGTGTACAGGCTGTGTGTATGTGTGTACAGGCTGTGTGTATGTGTGTACAGGCTGTGTGTATGTGTGTACAGGCTGTGTGTATGTGTGTACAGGCTGTGTGTATGTGTGTACAGGCTGTGTGTTTGTGTGTGTGTACATGCTGTGTGTGTACAGGCTGTGTGTATGTGTGTACAGGCTGTGTGTTTGTGTGTGTGTACATGCTGTGTGTGTACAGGCTGTGTGTGTGTGTACAGGCTGTGTGTGTGTGTACAGGCTGTGTGTGTGTGTACAGGCTGTGTGTGTGTGTACAGGCTGTGTGTGTACAGGCTGTGTGTGTGTGTGTGTGTACAGGCTGTGTGTGTACAGGCTGTGTGTGTACAGGCTGTGTGTGTACAGGCTGTGTGTGTGTGTGTGTACAGGCTGTGTGTGTGTGTGTGTACAGGCTGTGTGTGAGTGTGTGTACAGGCTGTGAGTGTGTGTACAGGCTGTGAGTGTGTGTACAGGCTGTGAGTGTGTGTACAGGCTGTGAGTGTGTGTACAGGCTGTGTGTGTGTGTGTGTACAGGCTGTGTGTGTGTCTACAGGCTGTGTGTGTGTGTGCAGGCTGTTTGTGTGTGTACAGGCTGTGTGTGTGTGTGTGTACAGGCTGTGTGTGTGTACAGGCAGTGTGTGTGTGTACAGGCTGTGTGTGTGTGTGCAGGCTGTTTGTGTGTGTACAGGCTGTGTGTGTGTGTGTACAGGCTGTGTGTGTGTCTACAGGCTGTGTGTGTGTGTGCAGGCTGTTTGTGTGTGTACAGGCTGTGTGTGTGTGTGTACAGGCTGTGTGTGTGTGTGTACAGGCTGTGTGTGTGTGTGTGTACAGGGTGTGTGTGTGTGTGTGTACAGGCTGTGTGTGTGTGTGTGTACAGGCTGTGTGTGTGTACAGGCTGTGTGTGTGTGTGTGTACAGGCTGTGTGTGTGTGTGTGTACAGGCTGTGTGTGTGTGTACAGGCTGTGTGTGTGTCTACAGGCTGTGTGTGTGTGTGTGCAGGCTGTTTGTGTACAGGCTGTGTGTGTGTGCAGGCTGTGTGTGTGTACAGGCTGTGTGTGTACAGGTTCTGTGTGTGTGTGTCTGTTTACAGGCTGTGTGTGTGTACAGGCTGTGTGTGTGTACAGGCTGTGTGTGTACAGGCTGTGTGTGTGTACAGGCTGTGTGTGTGTACATGCTGTGTGTGTGTGTGTGTGTACAGGCTGTGTGTGTGTGTACAGGCTGTGTGTGTGTACATGCTGTGTGTGTGTACATGCTGTGTGTGTAGAGGCTGTGTGTGTGTACATGCTGTGTGTGTAGAGGCTGTGTGTGTTTGTCTGTTTACAGGCTGTGTGGATGCTACGAGGCTCTGGACGGGGGCAACACGGGCGACGCGCTCATGGACTTCACGGGGGGCGTCTCGGAGTCGGTGGACCTGCTGGAAGGGGCCTTCTCGCAGCACGACAATGACGAGAGGGAGAAGTTCTTCAGCATGCTGCTCAAGGCATACAGCCGCGGGGCGCTGCTCAGCGGATCCATACGGGTCAGCCACCGCCACCATCGCCACCAATACCACCATCACTACCATCATCACCACCACCATCACCACCGCCATCATCAACACCACCACCATCACCACTGCTACCATCACTACCACGAACGCCATCACCGTCACCGCCACCATTGCCATCACCACCTCCACCACCGCCACCACCACCACCACAGTTCGTACACAGACAACGATCCCCCTGTGTTACCTGTTGGGGCAAGTGCTGTTGGCGAGTAACGCCAATGAAGGCCGGCACGGCACACGAGGGGGTGGTTTGGCCAGCACCACGCCCGGCCACCTTTGTTTTCCCGATGCCAATGTTTACACGTGGCACCAAGTACTCGTGTAAGGCTGAGCCGACCTAGGGGAGGCCCAGGACACGTTCAGATATCCTCCACTGTTATTGGTCATGAGCGTGAATCAAACTCGGGTCGGCCGGTTCAGAGCGCAGGACTACCGCACCGCTCCATACACACACGCATACACAGTCTCAACACACGCCACACACACCACACCCACCACAACTACACACCCACCATAACCGTTCCCCGTGTTGTTACCATGACGACCGCAGCCTGGTGTAGGGCCACATTAACAGTGTAACCTTGGTGTTACCATAATAACCATCGTGCTACCGTAGGCTCTGGGTTCCACACAGATGGAGGCACGCCTGGGCTGCGGCCCAGCGAAGGGCTTTATTAAGTGTCACCTTGGTATTACCATGGTAACCCTGGTGTTACCATAGGCTGTGGGCTCGGCGGAGATGGAGGCGCGCCTGGACTGCGGCCTGGTGAAGGGTCACGCGTACTCGGTGACGGACGTGCGCCGCGTGCGGCTTGGCCAAGGCCTGGTCGCGTTCTTCCGCGCGGAACGCCTCAACATGATCCGCATGCGCAACCCCTGGGGACAGAAGGAGTGGAACGGGGCCTGGAGCGACGGGTGAGCATGCGCCTCACCAACACTCACCTGACCAGACGCTCGCTCGCCTGTAGAGACGCTCACCTGTCCAGACACTCACCTGTCCAGATATTCACCTGTCCAGACACTCACCTGTTCAGACACTCACCTGTTCAGACACCGAACTGAACAGATGCTCACCTGTCCAGACACTCACCTGTCCAGACACTCACCTGTCCAGACACTCACCTGTTCAGACACTCACCTGTTCAGACACTCGCCTGTCCAGACACTCGCCTGTCCAGACACTCGCCTGTCCAGACACTCGCCTGTCCAGACACTCGCCTGTCCAGACACTCACCTGTCCAGACACTGACCTGTAGAGACGCTCGCCTGTAGAGACGCTCACCTGTCCAGACACTCACCTGTCCAGACACCGACCTGAAGAGATGCTCACCTGTCCAGACACTCACCTGTCCAGACACTCACCCGTTCAGACACTCACTTGTCTAGACACTCACCTGTCCAGACACTCACCTGTCCAGACACTCACCTGTCCAGACACTCACCTGTCCAGACACCGACCTGTAGAGACGCTCACCTGTCCTAACACTGACCTGTATAAACACCCTCATGTCCAGATACTCACATGTCCAGACCCTTATATAGACACCCGTCCAGACACTCGCTGGTTGAGACGCTCGCCCATCCAGACACTCACCTGTTCAGACACTCATCCGTCCAGACACTCATCCGTCCAGACACTCACCCGTCCAGACACTCACCTGTTCAGACACTCATCCGTCCAGACACTCACCCGTCCAGACACTCATCCGTCCAGACACTCACCCGTCCAGACACTCACCCGTCCAGACACTCACCTGTTTGATCGTGTTTGCAGCTCCGAGGAGTGGAAGAAGGTGAGCAAGGGGGAGCGTGAAGACATGGGCGTCACCGTAGCAGACGATGGGGAGTTCTGGTGAGCGCCACTCAACACAGACCCCCCCGACTCGCACGCACACCCCACAAAATGGACTATAAACTTTTTGTATTTTACCTGGTGTAAGGCCCACTGAGCTACGTAGCCCTTTTTCAGAAGCGACCTGGCAATCACAAATGAAGCTCAACAAAGTGGCTGATATCGTGATCATGTGCAAGTCGCGGCCATTTACGCATCATGTTGATTCTAAACGTGGAGGCGAAAACCGGAGTGCCCGGAGAAAAATCCATGCGACCACAGGGAGAGAAAGAGAGGCATGCAAACTCCAAATATACAGCAGGCATCAGGGTTTGGATTGAACCCACAACCTCCTGTATACCAGGCAAAGTAGTTAACATCTCCTAGCCACTGCGGCAACCCTACATGAAAACAACAATAGCTGCCGTTAACCACGAAGTGGCGGTGACATCACCAAGACACTTGTACCATGCTAGGTGCACGTGAGGCTCGCTCACAGGGGTCACGGGACAGACCCGGATGTCATGGGTTGACTGAATGAGATGATTGGCATATGCACCACCTGTGCCCCTTACTGTACCACCTCGCAGTATTTTAGCCACCAAGTGCCCTGCTCGTTGTTGTGAGCGTTGCTCCTCCGCCCTCCGTTGTTGTTGGAGGTCAACTGCCTCCAACTGCCCAGTAGCGTCCTTCACGAGCCTCCTCCATAGAAGCCGATCTTGACACCGCTGGTACCAGTCATCGGCAAGTCCACTCAGCTCCACGTCCTGCTGTACCACATCGGTGCATCTCTTCTGCTTAGGAATGCGGTGGCTGGGCATGCGGGCTACGTGACCCAGCCAACGTAATCTCACTTGACTGAGATGAAAACCTCTACTATGCACATACACATGCACTCACTACCAACACGCAGACGCACGCAAAAGACAAAGATCCCCTCTATAGCCTGAACAGACTTTTGAGGCAAGTGCTGTTAGTGAATAGCACCTACGAAGGCCGGCACGGCACACGAAGGGGTGGGTGGTCAGCACCATGCCCGACCGCCTTTGTCTACCAAGTGACGTTGTTTACACACGGCAGCAGACCTTCATTTAAGGCTGAGACGACCTAGGAGAGGCCCAGAATTGATTCAGAATAATTGTCACCAGTGTTGGCCATGAGCGGGAATCTAACTCGGGTCATTGGATTCATAGCGCAATGAGATCACTGTTACGTTTCTACTCCTCACGTACTACTGCTACACACATACCACACAAAGACAAAGATCACCCCTATAGCCTGAACAGACTGTTGTGGCAAGTGCTGTTAGCGGTCACATACCACACACAACAACTCGCACGCACTGAAACACCATACACGCACACACAAGACAAAGATCACCCCTATAGCACACAACAACAACAGCCGCCATTTGCCACTAAGTGGCGGTGATGTCACCACAGCGCTTGTGTCTAGCTGCACGTTGAGGTCACGTGAAGTGCCGTATCGTTTGTTGTTGTTACTTGCTTACCCGCCCCTACTGGAAATCTGTGATAAAGAGCTTCATAGCTCATCAGATTCCTCCTGCAGGATAAATTAAGATTCTGATTCTGAAGGCTCGCTGACAGGAGGTCATGGGACAGACCGAGGTGCCATGGGTTGACTGACTGAGCTGACTGGCAGATGCACCAGCTGTGTCCCCTTGTGTGCAAGCTTGCTGTGCTTTATCCGCCCGGCACTCCGCTCGTTGTTGTGAGCGTCGCTCTTCCGCCCTCCGTTGTTGTTGGAGGGCTACTGCCTCCAACTGCCCAGTAGCGTCCTTCACGAGCCTCCTCCACAGAGGCCGATCTTGACACCGCTGGTACCAGTCATCGCCAAGTCCACTTAGCTACACATCCTCCCGTACCGTTTAGCCTCCTCTATCCGGCTGAACAAAAGCCGTGTAGGTCTGCGGTGGCTGGGCATGAAGGCTACATGACCCAGCCAATACAGTCTCGCCTGCCGGATGATCTCACCGATTGGACTTCAATGATTTTTGAGCTCCTCACACAATCCAGCTTGGTTAAACCCAGGATGAATCCCAGGCAGGCCAGCCTGAATGTTGCTAAGCAGCGCAACAGATGTTCTATTAGGGGGTCCACATTTCACAAGCAAAGAGAAGGGAGGGAATGACTGTGGCTGAGAAGACCCGAAGCTTCATGTGGAGCGACAGGCCAGGTATCTTCCACACAGCGTTCTGCAGCTGATGAAAAGATATTGCCGCTCGACTGATTCGGAGTGAGACCTCTGCTGCCAAACTAAAGCTGGTCATAAGCATACTGCTGAGGTACGGAAACCTCACCACTCTCTCCACACAAAATACCCAGGCAGGTGTTTAGTTTTGGTGGGGCTGATGGTAAGGCCCCACCTTTTAGTAGCACGCTCCAGATTAAGCAGCAGCGCCCCCAACTCCTCCGTGTGAGCAGCAATCACCAGATCATCAGCATACATAACGAGGTTAACCAATAACAAGCCATGCCTCAATCGCACCTGGGCATCAATCAGCCGCCAATTTTATCTCTACCAGATGGAAATTCCTCCAGTACACCCATTGAAGGCTTCCCGAACTAAATGCTTGAAATATATGTTAAATAATGTGGGAGCCAGAGGACATCGCTGTCGCACCCCAAGGTGAACAGGGAATGGCTCAGACTCCCGGCCATGTAGTTTACCTGGCCCGCTCACCATCATGAAGGTCCTTAATGATTGTGAGCAGTCAGGGACGAAGAACAACCCAGATCCCAGCACTAGGTTGTTCAATTTCTTTGGTACAAATCTTGACTTAAAGCTTTCGTGACTGCAGGAATTAATATTCGTTGAGTCTTTCGGTGAAGTCAAGGAGATGGGTTCAAATTGTTTATTTTATTTTTATAAATGTGAACTTATCTACGTGACTTTACCATAAGACCCAAATAATACTTTGGTACAGCCATGGAAAGCTTTTCAAACTACGTGGTCAATAAAGGTGGCTAAAGGACATCCCTGTCGCACCCCAGGGTGAACAGGGAATGCCTCTGACTCCTTCATGATTGTGAGCAGAGATTCAGGGAATCTTAAAGCACGAAGAACAACCAGAGCCCTGGCCTATTGATGGTATCATAGGCCTTGACCAGGTCAATAAATCAGAGATGTAGGTCCCATGGAAATTTCCCACATCTGCTGTAGCAGACGGACAGAGAATATGGCGTCTGTGCAGAACCGCCCTGGCCTAAAACCACGCTTAGGAAGCCTCTCCTCAACGTGCCTGACAAGGCAATGTTGAATAATCCTAGCTAGGACCTTTCCCGGCCTTACACTGAGGGGGGAAATGCCCTTGTAGTTATTACAGTCTGTGCGGTCCCCCTTCTCGAATAGGGGGACAACCAGGGCATCCTTCCAATCCTGCGTAACCTGTCCTGTGGTCCAGAATTATTATGATGTCATATTGGGTAGTCTGCACACAAACGCCTTCCTCCCTCAGCAGTTCACATGGGAGATCATCTCTGCCTGTCGCTTTTCCTGGACTTGTACTTCCTCAAAAGGTGGCACCTCAGCCAGCCACTAACGGGGTGGCTACGTCTTCCAATATTTGAGGCACGGCAGCCCCAGCAGGGTCATCCCCACCTTGACCGCAAACCAGCAGACCTGTTCCTGGGCATTCGAGACCGGATAACCCTTCTTTTCCTTTAGGATGGTGATAGGTGTAGTGCTGCAAGTGACAAGGTTAGTTTGGCACAAGCTTAGTTTCATCTTTTCTGCGTGGTTATTTAGTGATGTGGTGGAGTGGTCACCAGCCCCTCGCACCGTTCCAGAGCCCCTGATGGCCACTGCAGCGACTGCGAGCTGATTGGTGTTGGCCTCACCCCCCCCCCCCCCCCCCCCCATGTCATTGCTCACAGCCACCACCGCAGCATTACCGACTGGCAACCACGGAGACTATGGGGGTTGTTTTTGCTTGTACAAAGACAAAGATCCCCTGTAGAGCCTGAATAGACTGTTGGGGCAAGTGCTTTTAGCGAGCACATATGAAGGCCGGCACATGAGGAGAGTGGGTGGCCAGCACCACGACAATGTTTACCACCAGGTACTTATTGGAGGTTTATTCACTCTCGGGGAGGCATAAGAACGGTTCAGATAACCGTCACTGGCGTTAGCAGAGAGCGGGAGTTAAACTCGTGTCGCCGGGTTCGTAGCGCAGCGTGCTAACCGCTGTACCACCGCTCGCCACGACAACAAGCGCACGTGCACACGTATAGACATACGACATGCACATACACATACCAACTCGCACGCACCCATGTTACACACATACCAAGCACGCACGCACGTTACACAACCCCTACCATGCGCATACGCACACACGGACACCCTTCTAACAACAGCAGTCTCCATTGGCCCCTGTGTAGTGGAGACGTCACCACAGCACTTGTGCCAGGCTAGGTGCACTTTTGGAGTCACGTGGACAAAAAAGCGCATGCCTGTGCACACAGATTGTGGGGCATGTTCTCCAAGTGCCATGGTGGTTGTGGTGCCAGACGGTAACGCTGCGGTGAGCAGTGCCTAGGGGGGAGGGCCAATTCCGATTGGCCATTCCCCTCATGGCGTTTGTAGCCACCACAGCAGCCAAATGGGGGCTCTGGATGGGTGTGAGGGACTTCCAACCCTTCCACCTTCAAATCAACTACCACTATACTACAAAGAAAATATCAAACAAAGCTTGTGCCGGAGGCCCCGGGGGGACAGGCGTCTATGACTTCTCCTGTCCAAACCCCAATTGGCGGAGCCAAAAGACTGAATCCTTACCCCTGGGGTTCCTCCAGAAGCAGCAGAAAGCTACTGCTGGTGGCAACGTGGAATGTTCGAATGCTCATTGCGGAGGAGAGGCTTCCACTCCTCTGTCGCGAGGTTTAGGAAGGTGGCTCATCCAGCTGCAAGGGCTGCCTTGGGTACACGGTCCAGATCTCCCCAAAAACCCTGGCTGACAGAGGAGGTGTTCAAGCTGGCTGAGAAAAAGCGACAGGCCCACTCTCATCGTCTTCAGCATCCCACATCAGAGAATGAGGAGGCTTACCACAGCTTTCGCTCGGAGGTTCGTAGAGCCGTGAGGCGCTGCAAGGATGGGATGGGTGGTGGTCACAGGATGCTGAGGAGATGGAATCTCCTAGCCACCAAAAAGGTAACTTGTGCCACACCTGTCACCATCATTAGGGGAAAGAACGGTGATCCAATCTCCGACCCCCAGGACCATGTTTGCAGATTTGCTGAGCATTTCTGTGAGGTCTGAGGGGAAATCCTTGAGCCTGGAAAACATCATGGGGCAAAGTGGGGATGACCCTGCTGAGGCTGCGGTACCTCATATTGGAAGAATTAGTCACCCCCTCTGAGTGGCTGGCTGAGGTGCCATCTGTTGAGGAAGTAATGAAGGTGATCCAGAGTCTGAGACCAGGAAAGGCGCCGGGCAGAGATGATCTCCCAAATGAAATGCTGAGGGAGGGTGGCGTTTGTGCACAGACTCCCCTACATGACATTATAATAACAATCTGGACCACTGGACGGGTTCCGCAGGATTGTAAGGATGCCCTGGTGGCCCCCCTCTTTAAGAAGGGGGACCGCACAAACTGTAATGACTACAGGGGCATCTCACTCCTTAGTGTGCCAGGAAAGGTCCTGGCAAGGATCAGGGGGTCCTGCACAGATGCCATATTTTCTGTCCATCTGCTACAGCAGAGATGTAGGGAATTCCAACAAGTTCATAATAAAGGTTTTGGGTTAGATCGCGTTTATTTATAAATGTGTCGCAACCCTCCACCACCCGACACGGCCAATCAGCAAAAAAGTGTCACGTTGACAAAGACAAACAATTCACTACTTCAGCCCACCGGTGTGTTGAAGAGTCAATCCACATTTACAGTTTGAGTACTCTTCAACACACCAGTGGGCTAAAGTAGTGAATTATTTGTCTTTTGTCAACGTGACACTTTTTTTGCTGATTGGCCGTGTCGGGTGGTGGAGGGTTACGACACATTTATAAATAAACGCGATCTAACCCAAAAACCTTTATTATGAATAATATTGGTCGCCTACGTGTTGAACTGAATTCCAACAAGACCTACATCTCCGCTTTATTGACCTGGTCAAAGCCTATGATATCATCAGTAGGTCTGGGATCTGGGTTGTTCTTCGTGCTGGAATCTGGGTTGTTCTTAATCCCTGACTGCTCACGATCAGTAAGGACCTAAATAATGGTGAGCGGGCCCAGGTAAAACTACATGGCCGGGAGTCTGAGCCATTCCCTGTACACCTTGGGGTGCGACAGGGATGTCCTCTGGCTCCCACATTGTTTAACATTTAATTCAAGCATGTAGTTTGTGAAGCCTTCGACGGGTGTACTGGAGGAATTTCCATCTTGGATAGATACAATGGGAGGCTGATCGATGCTCAGGTGCGGTCAAGAGATGGCTCCTTATTGATAAACCATGTTATGCATGCCGATGATCTGATAATTGCTACTCACTCAGAGGAGGAGTTGGAGGCGCTGCTGCTGAACCTGGAGCATGCCACTAAGAGATGGGGCCTTACCATCAGCCCCACCAAAACTAATCACCTGCCTGGGTATTTTGTACCATCAGACACTCCACTCCTACAACTCCCAATCGGTAATGGGGCAGTTGTGGAGAGAGTGGAGAGTTTTTCATACCTGGGCAGTGTGTCATGACCGGCTCCGGTTTGACAGCAGAGGTCTCACTCCGAATCAGTCGAGTGGCATTGTATTTTCATCGGTTGCGTAACGCTGTGTGGAAGCTACCTGGTCTGTCGCTCTGCACGAAGCTTCAGGTCTTCTCGGCCACAGTCATTCCTTCCCTTCTCTACGCTTGCGAAATGTGGACCCCCCTAATGGAACATCTTCGCCAGTTAGAAACATTTAGGCTGGCCTGCCTACGATCCACCCTGGGTTTAACCAGGCTGGATTGTGTGAAGAGCTCACATCCTTGAAAGATCTGGACAAAGTCCCATCGGTGAGCTCCTCCGGCAGGTGAGGCTGCGTTGGCTGGGTCATGTAGCCTGCATGCCCAGCCACCGCATGCTTAAACAGCTTTTTTTCGGCCAGATAGAGGGGGTTAAACGGGCGCGGCACGGGCTAGAGAAGAGATGGAGTGATGTGGTACAGGAGGACGTGGAGCTGAGTGGAATTGCCGATGACCGGTACCAGCGGTGTCAAGATCGGCCTCTGTGGAGGAGGCTCGTGAAGGACGCTACTGGGCAGTTGGAGGCAGTCGCCCTCCAACAACAACGGAGGGCGGAGGAGCGACGCTCACAACAACGAGCGGAGCGCCGGGTGGCTAACGCACAGCAAGTTGGCACAGTCGGGGGCACAGGTGGTGCATCAGCCAGTCATCTTGGTCATCTCAGTCAGTCGACTCATGGCACCTGGGTCTGCCCCGTGACCTGCCAGCGGGCGTACGACACTTCACGTGATAGCCTCAATGTGCACAGCCTGGCACAAGCGCCGTGGTGACGTCACCGCCACTTAGTGGCGAATGGTGGTGGTTGTTGTTGGTAGCGGTTGTGGGGAGCAGTAGTGTATCGGTTAACACGCTGCGCTACGAACCCAGCGACCCTAGTACGATTCCCGCTCACAATCAACACCATCAGTGACGATTATCTGAACTGGTCTTGCCCCTCCCCTAGGTCGACTCAGCTTCAAATGAGTACTTGGTGTGGTGTGTAAACATTGCCACTGGGGAGACAAAGGCGACCGGGTGTGATGCGGGCCACCCACCCCCTCTTATGCCGTACCAGCCTTCATAGGTGCTCACTAACAGGACTTTCCCCAACATTCTCTTAAGGCTATACGGGGAATCTTTGTCTTTGGTGGTGATGGTGGTTTCCTGTGGTTTCAGGATGACGTTTGAAGACTGGTGCAAGTACTTTACAGACGTGGTGGTGTGCAGGTGAGTACCTGATGTGAGTGAATGCACTGTGCGTGAGGGTAGGGGGTTAGTGTGGGGTGCAGGTGAATGTATTTGACTGTGGCTGAGTGCGGGTGAGGGTATGGTGCGGGTAGGGTGCGAGTAAGGGTAGGGTGTTGGTGGAGGTGTCGTAGGTCTCTTCTTCTTCTCTACCTTCTGGAGGCGTGTGTGTGTGTGCGGGGGGGGCGTGTGTGTGTGTGCGGGTGGCGTGCGTGTGTGTGCGGGGGGCGTGCGTGTGTGTGTGTGCGGGTGGCGTTTGTGCGTGTGCGGGTGGCGTGCGTGTGCGTGCGGGTGACGTGCGTGTGTGTGCGGGTGGTGTGTGTGTGTGTGTGTGCGGGGCACACGCTCCGTTAGAGGTAGTCCCAGGAGGCACCGTCTTTCTCTTTATTAGGTTCACACCACCAACTCTCCCCCTCTCTCACGACCACGCTGCCGTACGGCCCGGCCCAGACACGACGACCCTGCCCGCGTGGCACCGGCAGCGTTGCCCGAGACCCCCAACTACTGTTGGCCGCGCAATGATCGGGCGAAGGCCGCAGCGACGAAGGCGGCAGCCCGGAGCTCTCGCGCTCAGCTGCTTATGGCTCCGCCCTAGCCACGCCTCCCTTTCCGAGCCCTCCAGAGGGTTCCAGGGGCCTCCCCACGACGTCTACCGTGACCCTTGCCCAAGTTCCTCCGCCATGCCGGCACACACGCACCGTGTATGTGCTCGACGGCGTGTGCGCTAAGTGTCCAACTGCAGTTGCAGCTGCTGTACAGCAGTCGGCGCTGTGTCACTACAGAGTATGGTGAGGGTAAGCTACAAGTAGGGTGAGGGTATGGTGTGGGTGAGGGTATGGTGAGGGTATGGTGTGGGTGAGGGTATGGTGCGGGTATGGTGAGGGTATGCTACAAGTAGGGTGAGGTTATGGTGTGGGTGAGTGTATGGTGTGGGTGAGGGTATGGTGTGGGTGAGGGTATGGTGTGGGTGAGGGTATGGTGCGGGTGAGGGTATGGTGCGGGTGAGGGTATGGTGCGGGTGAGGGTATGGTGAGGGTAAGCTACAAGTAGGGTGAGGGTATGGTGTGGGTGAGTGTATGGTGTGGGTGAGGGTATGGTGCGGGTGAGGGTATGGTGTGGGTGAGGGTATGGTGCGGGTGAGTGTAGGGTGTGGGTGAGGGTATGGTGCGGGTGACGGTATGGTGTGGGTGAGGGTATGGTGTGGGTGAGGCTATGGTGCGGGTGAGTGTAGGGTGCGGGTGAGGGTATGGTGCGGGTGAGGGTATGGTGCGGGTGAGGGTATGGTGTGGGTGAGGGTTAGGGCGGCTGTGGGTAGTGTGCGGGTGAGGGTAGGATGAGGTGAGGGTATGGTGCAGGTGAGGGTAGGGTGAGGTGAGTTGAGGGTAGGGTGAGGTGAGGGTATGGTGCGGGTATGGTGAGGGTGAGGTGAGGGTATGGTGCGGGTGAGGTGAGGTGAGGGTATGGTGCGGGTGAGGTGAGGGTAGGGTGCGGGTGAGGTGAGGGTAGGGTGCAGGTGAGGTGAGGGTATGGTACGGGTGAGATGAGTGTATGGTGCGGGTGAGGTGAGGGTATGGTGCGGGTGAGGGTATCGTACGGGTGAGTGTATGGTGCGGGTGAGGGTATCGTACGGGTGGTGTATGGTGCGGGTGAGGGTATGGTGCGGGTATGGTGAGGGTGAGGGTGTGGTGCGGGTGAGGGTGTGGTGCGGGTGAGGGTGTGGTGCGGGTGAGTGTATGGTGCGGGTGAGGGTATGGTGCGGGTGAGTATTATTGTGCCACTCCAAGAGATGCGTTACTCTGTGGCCTGACCTCAACACCGGCGGTACCAGACATGGGTAAGTCCACTCCACATCCTCCCCTACTGCATCAGCTCCATCTCTTCACTAGCCCGTGCTGCACCCGTCAAACCCAACTCCATCTGGCCAAAGAGAAGCTGCTTGGGCAGCTGGGCATGCGGGCTACGGGACCCGGCCAACGCAGCCCCGATCCCCCACACACTGGAACACCTCTCCCTGCAGGATCATCAACACGTCGTATTTCACCTTGCACAAGACCTGGGAGGAGGTGATGCTAAAGTCGGCTTGGGTGACCGATGAGAACCCGCTCAAGAACCGTGCCGGGGGCTGCATCAACAACCGCAGCACAGCGCTGCAGAACCCACAGGCACAACCGCACACATCCCACACACACAAACGCACACACCCCACACACACAACTGCACACATCCCACACACAACCACACACATCCCACACACACAACAGCACACATCCGACACACAACCGCACACATCCCACACACACAACCACACACATCCCACACACACAACCACACACACCCCACACACACAAACGCACACACCCCACACACACAACTGCACACATCCCACACAACCACACACATCCCACACACACAACAGCACACATCCCACACACAACCGCACACATCCCACACACAACCACACACATCCCACACACACAACCACACACATCCCACACACACAACAGCACACACCCCACACACAACCGCACACACCCCACACACACAACTGCACACACACACAACTGCACACACACACAACTGCACACACACAACTGCACACACACACAACCACACACACACCCCATCCAGACACAACCGCGCACACACACAACCGCACACACCCCACACACTCTAGTGCACACACACACAACCGCACACCTACACACCCCCCCCCCCCCCCACACACACAGCTGCACACCCACCCACACAACCGCACACCCCCCAAACTATATTGTGGGGGGTGTGCGGTTGTATGGGTGATGCCTGTGATGTGTATGATGCATGAGGCGTGTTGGTGTGTGTGACGCGTGTTGGCATGTGTGACACGTGTTGGCGTGTGACGCGTGTGGCGCGTGTGACGCGTGTGTGACGCGCGTGACGTGTGTGTGACGCGTGTTTGTGTGTGTGATGCGTGTTCTGTGTGTGCCGCGTGTTTGCGTGTGTGCCGCGTGTTGGCGTGGTGCAGTTTGTGTTTGACGTGTGCAAGGCGGAGGACATGGTGCTCGTGTGCCTGCAGCAGGAGGACCGGCGCGAGCAGCGCACGTCCGGGCGCAGCGGAGAAAACCTCGCCATTGGCTTTGACATCTACAGGGTGACGCAAGCAGGCGGGGCACGGGGGGCACGGGGGGCACGGGAGGTAGCGCCTGCTTTCATGGCCGCCTGGTTCGATCCCCCAATACCAGCAGCCGCCATTCGCCACCAAGTGGCGGTGACGTCACCACGGCGCCTGTGCCAGGCCAGGTGCACTTTGAGGCCGCGTGAAGCGTCGAAGGCTCGCTGGCGGGGAAGGTCACGGGACAGACCCGGCAGGTGGTGCCGTGGGTTGACTGCTGTGACAGGCTAGGTGCAGGAGGCAGTACAGAAACACGACAGTACAGCAACACGACAGTCATGCAAAGGACAGGAAAGGTAAACAAATCACCCAAACACATCTCAATACGACAAAACCGTCCCTGTCATACCAGGCAAAGCCCACTGAGGTATCAAAAAAACAAAGCAATGTCGGGGGGCCTAACCAGGAAGGGGTGGGGCTTAACCAGGAAGGGGTGGGGCTTAACCAGGAAGGAGGAGGAGCCTACAACGAATGGGCAGTGCCTTTGGAAGTTGAACTGCCCTGTTGGGGTCAGGCGCGTGCAGAATCAGAATATTTCAACTGCAGGAGGAATCCGATGAGCTCGAATTCACCCAACGCCACCACGGCTCACCCCCCCCATCCCCCACCCTCGCTGGCTGCGTGCAACAGGTGGAGCGCAATCGTGAGTTCCGCATGCACGCGTTGCAGCAGGAGAAGGTGGCGAGCTCCGTGTACATCAACTCGCGCAGCGTGGTGCTGCGCCAGGAGCTCGCGATGGGTCGCTACGTCGCCGTGGCCACCACCTTCGAGCCGCGGCAGCAGGGGCGCCTGCTGCTGCGCGTCTTCACCGACGTCGCGTCGCGTTGCAGGTGCCCGCCCACAGCGCGATGGATGCCCTGCGAGAAACGGCGTTTTTCTCTTGTTGCGGTGGTGGTGGTGGCGGTTGTGGTGGTTGTGGTGGCGGTGATGGGGGATCTTTGTTTGGTGGTGGCGGTGGTGGTGATGGTAGCAGTGGGGGATCTTTGATGATGGTGCTGGCGGTGGTGGTGGGGGATCTTTATTTGGTGGTGGTGGTGGTGGCAGTATTGGCGGTGATTGCGGGTCTGCTGCTGCTGCACGGGGCCCCTGTAATCATCCAGTGCTGTGGTTCACCAGGAGAAGGCAGTGCAGTAACGTGTGGAATAATTTCCATCTGTGCCATCTGTGTGTGGGGGATAGAGCGTTGCCCCCTTTCCGGGTGCTCCGGTTTCTTCCTCCTACGTGGTGCAATAAACACGACTCGTCAATTATCGAGGCCGAAAACATCTTAATGAGTAAACACGCAATGTAGCAGCAGCAGCAGCATCACGACCCTCGTGAAATACCACTCTGCAGGATAAATAAATAATACTCGGTCGTTGCCTGGTGCGGTGTGTGTTAACATCGTCACTGGGGAGACAAAGGCGGCCAGGCGTGGTGCTGGCCACACCCCCCCCCCCCCCTCGTGCGACGTGCCGGCCTTCATAGGTGCTACTCGCTATAACAGCACTTGCCCCCGCAGTCTGTTGAGGCTACACGGGGGAGTGGATCTTTGTCTTTGTGTGCGAGCGTTCAGTGCCCCGCGTCTCCTCGCGTCTCGTCCTCGCCGCCGTGCTGTCGGTAGCGCCGATTGTCCCCCTCCCCCCCCCCCCGTTGGGCACAGGGAGCTGATGCTGGACGTGCCACCGCACACGTGCTGGAGCGGCATCGTGGGCTACCCCACCCTCGTCACCAGCCTGCACCTGGTCAGCGCCACCGGGCTGCCCCCAGGTGTGACGACCCCCCCCCCCCCCGCCGTGAGACTGTTACACTATTTTGTATTTTACCAGGTAAGGGCCACAGAGCTCATCGCTAGCTCTTTTTCAGGAGCATCACAAATGATAGCGGCTCAACAAAGTGGCTTCTCATGATCACGCGGAAATGTATCGCTGCCAAATCAAGGTCACTCTAAACGCGTGATGTTGATTACAACTATACAACAGGCTTCAGGGTTGGGATCGAACCCACCAGGCGAGGTAGTTAACATCTGCTGCTGCTGCTTGTTGCTGGGAGCTGCTTCTAGCTGCTGTTGCTACTGCTAATTGCTGCTGCTTACTGCTGCTAGCTGGTGCGAGTTGCTTGCTACTATGTGCTGCTAGCTACTGTGTGCTGCTAGCTACTATGTGCTGCTAGCTACTATGTGCTGCTAGCTACTATGTGCTGCTAGCTACTATGTGCTGCTAGCTACAATGTGCTGCTAGCTCTATGCTAGCTAATGTGCTGCTAGCTACTATGTGCTGCTAGCTACAATGTGCTGCTAGCTACTATGTGCTGCTAGCTACAATGTGCTGCTAGCTACTATGTGCTGCTAGCTACTCTGTGCTGCTAGCTACAATGTGCTGCTTGTTACTGTGTGCTGCTAGCTACTATGTGCTGCTAGCTACAATGTGCTGCTAGCTACTCTGTGCTGCTAGCTACAATGTGCTGCTTGTTACTGTGTGCTGCTAGCTACTATGTGCTGCTAGCTACAATGTGCTGCTAGCTACTATGTGCTGCTAGCTACAATGTGCTGCTAGCTACTATGTGCTGCTAGCTACTATGTGCTGCTAGCTACTGTGTGCTGCTAGCTACTGTGTGCTGCTAGCTACTATGTGCTGCTAGCTACTATGTGCTGCTAGCTACTATGTGTTGCTTGTTACAATGTGCTGCTAGCTACTATGTGCTGCTTGTTACAATGTGCTGCTAGCTACTATAAGCTGCTAGCTACTATGTGCTGCTAGCTACTATGAGCTGCTAGCTACAATGTGCTGCTAGCTACTATGTGCTGCTTGTTACAATGTGCTGCTAGCTACTATAAGCTGCTAGCTACTATGTGCTGCTAGCTACTATGAGCTGCTAGCTACAATGTGCTGCTAGCTACTATGTGCTGCTAGCTACTATGTGCTGCTAGCTACTGTGTGCTGCTTGTTACTGTGTGCTGCTAGCTACTGTGTGCTGCTAGCTACTATGAGCTGCTTACTACTATGTGCTGCTAGCTACTATGTGCTGCTAGCTACTATGTGCTGCTAGCTACTGTGCTGCTAGCTACTGTGTGCTGCTAGCTACTGTGTGCTGCTAGCTACTATGTGCTGCTAGCTACTCTGTGCTGCTAGCTACTGTGTGCTGCTTGTTACTATGTGCTGCTAGCTACTATGAGCTGCTAGCTACTATGTGCTGCTAGCTACTGTGTGCTGCTTGTTACTATGTGCTGCTAGCTACTATGTGCTGCTAGCTACTATGTGCTGCTAGCTACAATGTGCTGCTAGCTACTGTGTGCTGCTAGCTACTATGTGCTGCTAGCTACTATGTGCTGCTAGCTACAATGTGCTGCTAGCTACTGTGTGTTGCTAGCTACTATGTGCTGCTAGCTACTGTGTGCTGCTAGCTACTGTGTGCTGCTAGCTACTGTGTGCTGCTAGCTACTATGTGCTGCTAGCTACTATGTGCTGCTAGCTACAATGTGCTGCTAGCTACAATGTGCTGCTAGCTACAATGTGCTGCTAGCTACAATGTGCTGCTAGCTGGTGTGAGCTGCTAGCTACTATGTGCTGCTAGCTACTATGTGCTGCTAGCTACTATGTGCTGCTAGCTACTATGTGCTGCTAGCTACTATGTGCTGCTAGCTACTATGAGCTGCTAGCTACTATGTGTTGCTAGCTACTATGTGCTGCTAGCTGGTGTGAGCTGCTAGCTGGTGCGAGTTGCTTGTTACAATGAGCTGCTAGCTACTATGTGCTGCTTGCTGCCACCGCTCACTCACTCTGTAGAACAGGGGTAGATCACACAAACTCCACTCACTCTGTAGAACAGGGGTAGATCACACAAACTCCACTCACTCTGTAGAACAGGGGGAGATCACACAAACTCAACTCACTCTGTAGAACAGGGGTAGATCACACAAACTCCACTCACTCTGTAGAAGAGGGGTAGATCACACAAACTCCACTCACTCTCACTCTGTAGAAGAGGGGGAGATCACACAAACTCCACTCACTCTGTAGAAGAGGGGTAGATCACACAAACTCCACTCACTCTGTAGAAGAGGGGTAGATCACACAAACTCCACTCACTCTGTAGAACAGGGGTAGATCACACAAACTCCATTCACTCTGTAGAACTGGGGGGGTTGGGGGGGAGTGAGAGAGGAAGCACACAAATCCAGGGCCCTGTTGTCCAGCCCTGGCTCACGGAGCCACAACCCCCTCCGCCTCGCCGCAGGCTCCAGCCCCTACGCCGTGATCCGGAGCGAAGGCAGCAAGGTGAGGAGCCGTCCCCACGCCGACACGCAGGAGCCCGCCCTGGACACCAAGGCGCTGTTCTACCGGCGCAAGCCCGACCAGCCCATTGTGATCGAGGTGCGCCGCGCTCAGAATCGATCGGCGTGCGAGTCGCCGTCGGTCTCTCGCGAGTGTGAGAATCGCGGTGCTGTTCGTGGGGAGCGGCGGCGCAGCGGTTTAGCGCGCGCCGCGCCATGGACCCCGGCGACCCGGGTTCGATTCCCGCTCCCGTGGGTCGACTCCACCTCAGATGAGTACCTGGCGTAGTAAACATCGCCGCCGGGGGAGACAAAGGCGGCCGGGCGCTGTGCTGGCCACCCGCCGCCCCCTCGTTGCGCGGCCCGTTGAGGGGATGTCTGTCTCGTGCGTGCGTGCTCGCAGCTGTGGAACAAGAGCTGCGTCTGCTCCGAGTTCATCGGCAGGGTCTCTGTGCCGGCCACGATGGGCGACCTCAAGAGCAGCCACAGCATGAGGTTGCAGGGCAGCGAGGGCAGCGACCGAGGCAGCGTCCTCATCAGCGTCAACTCCAGCGACGACCTCGTGGCCATCTGAGCCGCGTGGGGTCACGAAGGGTCACGAACGTAGAGCCCCCACCCCCCCCCACCCAAAACACGGGAGACCCCCCCCCCACCACCACTAAGTGCCCCCATTCCTCCCCCTTCCCCACCATCCCCTCCCTTCCCTACCATGCCCCCCCTTACCCCCCCCTTCCCCACCGCCCCCCTTCCCCACCATGCCCCCCTTACTCACTATGCCCCCCTTACTCACTATGCCCCCCCTTCCTCACCAGCCCCCTTCCCCACCACCCCCCCTTCCTCACCAGCCCCCCCTTCCCCGCAATGTCCGATCACAAACGAGGTGGGCCGGACGGCCCCCCTCGTTTGTGCTCCCGTGTAAACAAAGCCTCCAGCATATTTTCGTAATTTCATCTCTTCTTGTTTACCACAACATCCCGTCGGCCGTGCCTAGAGGCCCTCATTGTGGGCCAGCGTGTGACTTGGGCCAGCATGGCTGGCGTCACGCCGGCGGTGACGGTGAGCGAGGAACCTCTCTGGCTGGCCCCCGAGCCCCCGTAGCGGTCGTGTTGGACCCCCGAGGTGGCCGCATCGTCAAAGCCGCGGCTTTCCCCTGCGAGTTTTTCCCTTTACATTAGCGCTGTATTTTGTTGTTACGGCCAACTCGTTTTTAGTTTATCTGGCAAGGCTCCGGCGAGCTACGCTTAGCTCACTTTCTCGGAATCGGCACGGCCGTCGCAAATGATGGCTGCTCGCACCAAGTGGCGTTTCTTTTTCGCCGCGCGGAAATTTACAGCGGCAGCCCAAATACGCGACGTCGATTCTCAACGTGGAGGGAAAACCCGGAGGACCCGTAGGAAAAATCCACGCCACCACGGGGAGAGAGACGCGCACGCTCCAAATATACAGCAGCAGCAGCAGCAGGCGTCAGGGTCGGGATGGAACCCACGACCTCCTGTATACCAGGCGAGGTAGTTAACATCTCCCCCCTGTTGCTTGAGTGTGGTCGTGATGACGGTGAAGTTGGCATGAGCAGCGGTAGGAATGGGAACGTGGAGGTGCCGATCCTCCTGTAGCAGTAGCAGGAACCGACGTTCACAGATATTGTCTTTGACACTCTCTCACACTCACTCACACTCCGCTCACACTCTCACTCACACTCCGCTCACACTCTCACACTCACTCACTCACTCACACTCTCACACTCCGCTCACACTCTCACTCCGCTCACACTCTCACTCATGCACTCCCATGTTCTCTGACACTCAGGCTGACACTCTCACGCTCACTCACACTCTCACTCACACACTCCTACTCACACTCTCACTCACACTCCGCTCACACTCTCACTCCGCTCACACTCTCACTCACACTCTCACACTCACTCACATTCCACTCACACTCCGCTCACACACTCACACTCTCACACACTCACTCACACACTCGCACTCACACTCTAACTCCGCTCACACTCTCACTCCGCTCACACTCTCACTCCACTCACACTCACTCACACTCTCACTCACACTCCGCTCACACTCTCACACAGTCCCACGTTCACTGACATTCTCTTTGACACTCTCACACACTCCCATGGTCACTGACACTCAGGCTGACACACTCACACTCTCACTCCGCTCACACTCTCGCTCACACTCTCGCTCACACACTCCCATGTTCACTGACACTCAGGCTGACACTCTCACGCTCACTCACACTCTCACGCACACTCTCACTCACCTCACACTCCGCTCACACTCTCACACTCTCACTCACACACTCCCATGTTCACTGACACTCAGGCTGACACTCTCACGCTCACTCACACTCTCACTCACACTCACTCACACTCCGCTCACATTCTCACTCCGCTCACACTCTCACACTCTCGCTCACACTCTCACACTTTCACACTCTCCCATGTTCACTGACACTCAGGCTGACACTCTCACGCTCACTCACACTCACACTCTCGCTCACACTCTCACTCCGCTCACACTCTCACACTCTCGCTCACACTCTCACTCGCACTCCGAACATACTCTCACTCACACTCTGCTCACACTCTGGCATTCAGTCTCACAATCTCGCTCACACTCTACACTCACACTTTCACACTCGCACTCCGATCATACTCTCACAAGCTCGCTCACACTCTCACACTCTCACTCGTTCACACTCTTGCTCACACTCTCATGCTTTTGCATGCTCACACTCTCGCTCACGCTCCTCTCAACGCGTCCCCCCTTCGGAGGCGTCGTTGTGTAGGACTGAGAACTCCTCTCGGAGTACCCGCTACGCGTGGATGCTGCGGTGAGAAGTCCCGGCGTGGCGTGCCCTGGTGGCCTATCACTGTGGCGTTCCGGCGTGGCGTCCCGGTGTGGCGTGCCAGCTCATGTCCACCACTGGCAAGAGGGCACTCGCTCACTTTGCACTTCCGTTCAGCTTTGCCAAATACGGCTTCGCGCGATGCGCTATGGAAACCGCATGCGTCCGCTGTGTGACCCGGTATGGGAATCTAACCGTGCGTGGCCTTTACTCTGTGTGCCTCCGAGCTACGTGGCATGGTCGTTTTCCAAGGTAGGTGCATGCAAGCCTGCCGTATAATCAAAACGAGATCAGTGTCGTGTGTGTGCGCGTGTCCGTGTGTCTGTTGACGTTAATGTGGGGAGCGGTGGTGCGGCGGTTAGCGCTACGCCGCGCTACGAACCCGGCGACCCGAGTTCGATTCCCGCTCACGGCCAACACCGGTGACGATTATCTGAACCGGTCGTGGGCCTCCCCTAGGTCGACTCAGCCTCAAATGAGTACCTGGTGCGGTGTGTAGTAAACTTCGCCACTGGGGAGACAAAGGCGGCCGGGCGTGGTGTTGGCCACCCACCCCTTCGTGTGCCGTGCTGGCCTTCATAGGTGCTCGCTAACAGCACTTGCCCCTACAATTTGTAAAGGCTACACGGGGAATCTTTGTTTACATGTGTGGGGAGTGGTGGCGCAGCGGTTAGCGCGCTATGCTACGAAACCTGGTGTCCCGAGTTCGATTCCCGCTTGCGGCCACCACCGGCGATGGTTGTCTAAATCAGTCCTGGGCCTCCCCCCTAGGTCGACTCGGCCTCAAATGAGTACCCGGTGCGGTGTGTAGTAAACATCGCCACTGGGGAGACAAAGGCGGCCGGGCGTGGTGCTGGCGACCCACTCCCTCGTGTGCCGTTTTGGCCTTCATGGGTGCTCGCTAACAGCACTTGGCCCAACAATCTGTTCAGGCTACACGGGGAATCTTTGTTTTGGTAAGTTTTTTGTGCACTCAGACAACTTTAAGTTCTCTTTGCATCACCTAGGGACATGTTTACCAATCATCAGGCACATGCACCATGTCATGACGTGAGGAACGGAGAGTGGATCTGTACCCCGAGGAACGGAGAGTGGATCGGTGCGATGAATGGAGTGTGGATCAGTGCGATGAATGGAGTGTGGATCAGTGCGATGAACGGAGTGTGGATCTGTGCGATGAACGGAGAGTGGATCTGTGCCCTGAGGAACGGAGTGTGGATCGGTGCGATGAACGGAGTGTGGATCGGTGCGATGAACGGAGTGTGGATCGGTGCCCTGAGGAACGGAGTGTGGATCGGTGCGATGAACGGAGTGTGGATTGGTGCGATGAACGGAGAGTGGATCGGTGCGATGAACGGAGTGTGGATTGGTGCGATGAACGGAGTGTGGATCGGTACGATGAACGGAGTGTGGATCGGTGCCCTGAGGATCGGAGTGTGGATCGGTGCGATGAACGGAGAGTGGATCGGTGCCCTGAGGATCGGAGTGTGGATCTGTGCCCTGAGGAATGGAGTGTGGATTGGTGCGATGAACGGAGTGTGGATCGGTGCGCTGAGGAATGGAGAGTGGATCAGTGCGATGAACGGAGTGTGGATCGGTGCGCTGAGGACCAGAGTGGGTCTCCACACAGGTCTCTGCCGCTGGATTGCCACTGAGCAGTGGCAGGAGAAGCAACGGTTTATTCGAAACGAGGAATTTACCACTTTATATTAAAACAAATGGAACTGTTTCGCCTTGATAACCCAGTGAAGCCACACTGAGCAGTCCGAAGACTGTTTCAGGGAGGGCCCTGCCATATGATTTGGTCGATTGGCCAATTCCAACAAAGAGAGTTTGGCTTAATATGTTGTACGTATGTTAAACTTATTTCGCACCGTACGTAGCCAACCATGCTAAACTGAGTTTTAGTATTTAGCGCCGTTTATACAAACCATATCGCGTAGCGTGCAGTTCCAGATGCCTTTGGCCAATCATTGAAAAGTGTTTGTTCGTGTGCGGGAAACCCCGAGAACCTTGAGACAGTCCACACGGAGCGGGATGAACGTAGACATCTGTGGGTCTCTCCGAGTCTTTGAGTCTCTGTGCCAGTCTGTGGACCTCCCTGTGAGTCTATGGATATCTGTGCGAGTCTGGGTCTCTGCGTGTGTCTAAGATATAGTGGGATACTGTGAGGGCTAATGTATCGGTATCTGTGTTAGTATTGGTCTTTATATATGTCTGTGGATCTCTGCGAATCGAAGAGGAGATGGTGGGAGACTGTTCGTGCACATCTGTGGTTCTCTGTGTAAATCTGTGGATCTCTCTGAGTCTATGTATCTCTGGAAATCTGTGGTTCTCTGTGTCTATGGGTCTCTTGAGTCCGTGGGGCTCTCTGTGAGTCTGTGGAGGTGTCTCTGTGAGTCTATCTCAGTGGAGAGATGCTGGGATGAGATTCTGAGGGCCGGTCTGGGAGGTCACCGCACGTCCCCTGTGCAGCTGCTACGGAAGGTGGGGATCGTAGATAAGCGAGCACGCGCCCGTGGCATCGTTGGCTTTGCCCACGATGACCTCTGCTTGGTCTTGATATCCATTGTGGGCCACCGCTGGTCTGCGGACCACGCCACATGGCCTTGTGGGACACCGCTCGTCTGCGGACTACTCCACATGGCCTTGTGGGACACCGCTGGTCTGCAGACCACTCCACATGGCTATGTGGGACACCGCTCGTCTGCAGACCACTCCACATGGCCTTGCGGGACACCGCTGGTCTGCAGACCACTCCACATGGCCATGCGGGAC